ATTTCTTCATGTATGCAAAACAGTCCAAAATTGTCTTATGTCAAACTCCAATAACATACACATAATTTTTTTCCCTCTTTCTGAGATATATAAGTATATCTTTTCTTCTAAAAATTATTTTTCTAAGATAAACAAAATTTTCATTTAAAACCATTTTTTATTTTAAAGTTTATGTTATTTAGGGCGTACACAGCAGAAAATATACCAATTCAATAATTTCTACATGTACAATTCAGTGGCATTGATTACATTCTTCAAGTTGTGCAATCATTATCATGATCCTTTTCAAAATTGTTCCTCCTCCATTAGCATAAACTCGTATTATGTTTTTAACATAAATTCCCTACATTCCTATTTAATCTTTGAGTTGTTGTTGTCAATTTGATCTCGTATATATATTTCTTAAAAGAGCACTATTCTTACAGCAGACATTCTTTACTACTTTATCTGAAATATTGTTTGCTTTTAAGATTTCCAGGGAAATTTTTGGTTTAAGGTTTAAATTTCAAAGATTATGTCAGGGCAATAATTGCAAGGGTTCATACATCCTCTATGGCTCCATGGAGGATGTATGAACCCTTGCAATTATTGCCCTGACATAATCTTTGAAATTTGGTAGCGTAGTGCCTAAGGCATTTGACTGCTAACCAGAAGGCTGGCGGTTCAAACCCACCAGCCACTCCTCGCAAGGAAGACGGGGCAATCTACTTCCGTAGTGATACTGCCTCGGAAACCCAAGGAGGGGTCGCTATGAGTTGGGTCTGACTTGACGGCACATAATAACAGCAACAACAACTATGGCTCCATAAAGTCTGGATTCCATACTGTTATGAATTTCTGTTCCACATTTTCTCCCTTTTGATCAGGATATAGAATTTTCTATAGAATCTTTCATCGAACATTTCAGTAATAGTAGCCAAGAACCATCCAGTTCATGGTTGCATGGGACATTCCAGTTAATTTGTCTAATATATTTAGTGCTTCTATTCAACCTCCTAGTTCATTGTGTGGTGACTGTGTTCTTAAAAGCATGCAAATGACCATCCAATGTATAAAAATTGGTCTTCATTCACCTGGAGAAATAGAGGATGATAGAAAATCTGGAGTAGGAAGGAGGAATGGAACATGTGACTAATTGCCTACATGAACAACTACCTCCATTGCTAAGAAACTAGAGGAACTGTATGGTGCTCAGTTATTAATTTAACCATTTTTAAGTGTACTATTTAATGACATTACTTTCCCCATATTGTATAACCATCACATAATCTGTCCAAAGGTTTTCATGACCCCGAACAGAAACTCAATACTTCTTAAGCAATAATTGCCCATTTCACACCCAACTTCCACCCAGCCACCCTTGGTAAACCAAAAAAAGCCAAACTCACTGCCATCAGGGGAGTCAGCTGCAGGAACCCAGGTGAGGGGAGGGAACACAGGCCATGCCCCATGAGCAGCAAGGTGGGAAAGTGGGGGAGGAACATAAAAAGGCCAGGGGGACCAGGATCGAGCAAGGAGGCGGCAGTAGGAATCCAGGTAGGGAGAGGTTGGAGAGGTTTCCAACAGTTAAGGGAGACAAACTTGTCTGCCGGTTTGTCCTACTGTGGTGATGTGTTGAGGCTGTGCCACCAGTGTTTCAAACCCAGTGTGGTGCACATGGTGCACAGGTATCAGCACAGCTGTCAAACTGAGACAAACTAGGAAGAAGGAAGAGGCCATCCACTTCTCAAAGAATTGGCCAGGGAAAACCTTATGAATAAGAGAGCACTGTCTGATTCATTACTGTGCTAGTCCAGAAACATTGTGCAATACAGTGTAGAAGGATAAGTCACTTAGGTTAGAAGACTCTCAAAATAGGACTGGGAAAGAACTGAATCATCGGAGTAAAACCAGCCTTACTCATATAGAAAAGGTAAAGCTTTCAAGACCTGCATTTGCTGACATTGCACAACTCAAATCTGAGGAGAAACAGGTGCTAACATCCATTAATAATTGGAACATGGAATGTAGGAAGTATGAATCTAGGAAAACTGGAAGTTTTCAAAGATGAAATGAATGCAAAAAGATTGATATCCTAGGCATTAGTGAGCTGAAATGGACTGGTTTTGGCCATTTTGAATCAGACAACCATATGATCTATTATGCTGGGAATGATAAATTGAAGAGGAATGGCATGGCATTCATCATCACAAAGGATGTTTCAAGATCTGTCCTGAAGTAAAATGCTGTGAGTGATAGGATAATAT